AGACATAATTTTTATATTTATTTTAGCCTTTTTACCCAGCTTTAACATTTGGCCTGATTTTAATCTGCCACATTTTACATAATCTTCCTTATAAATTGACTTCCGAGTGAAACAGTGAAGCTGATGCTCAAAAGAAATCTACAAGCACTGCAAGGAAAAGTCATCAGCATGATGCAGTTAAGAATAAATCAGAATTGAAAATTCAGAATTTTTAAGTTCTGTTTATGTGACTGCTCCATGTTATTTTTCCCTTCTTATATCTGCTAAAAAAGTTAGAAAAAATTTCTTCCACCAGTTTAAATACATTGTAAACTGTATCTGATTTTAAACAAATATTTACATATAATCATCATTGTAATAAGCTCTGGAATAATATTTATCTTTTACATATATGAAAGTCAATATAAGTATTTCATGCTAACTCTAAATCCAAATGGCCTTCAGTGAGTGTTCTTTGCAAAGATATTTAGAGTTAGCACTTCTGGTCACAAAAATGTTTCAGGGCACTTTTCTAATAACAACAGGAAATAAATACAATTATTTTAGCTGCCAAGAAAAATTGTTGGTGATAAGATTCTTTGTGTATTGATTATAGAACCAATGGTATAAGCAAATCTTAAAATATTTCCTCTATATAATGCCAACTGAAAACTATGTTTAAAAAGTATTAAAAATAATAGACATATTCCAATTAATAAATAATGCTCATAATCATATTGATGCTCAAAAAATTAATTGAATATTTAATTTTTGTACACAAGTTTAGATAGTAATGACAGTTTGTTACTAATGAATATAATTGTTTTTGTGAGATTCTTCTCATGTATTAGTTCAGACCTTCTAGTCTTAATCTTTCTTAACAGAGATAATTCTATGACTGCTAAATCTAGAAGGCTGCTAGGTGAACTTTTCATAACAAATGCATTGCTTTTCACCCTTTATACAATGTAATTGTTAAAACAAATCAAATGTGTGCATATTAATAATCATATCAAGATCTCTAACCCCTCCAGACTACAATGATATAGTAATTTAACAAGAATTGCTTTGTTCCTCTACACGCCTGTCAGATCTAGGTTTTAATTATCTTCTCACCACCTCTAGGCCTTTTCATATTCAGACAATATGTAAATTAATGTAGTCTTTCATTTTGAAAGAGTTAAGGGATATGAATTTCTTTAGAATATTTCTCTCTTACCTGTCTTAACCATACATCTGACTTTTTGTAAGCATATAATTCTACAAAATAGAATAATTATATTCTATAAAATATAATTCTACAAAATGAAAACACAGAAGCCTAATTCTGGAGAGTAAAATCAGTAGGAAAATATATCCTGCTTGTCTTTCAGGACAACACTTTCTCTTGGTTTCCATGTTTGTATATAGAAACATAAATTGTAAAATGTATCTGATTTTAAACAAATATGTATAATCATCAGTGTAATTAAGGATATTACATGTAATAACATGTAATATGGATTCATGTTTATATATAATAAAATGAAACGGAGTTATGACAGGAAATGAATGAGGAGCAAATCTAAGGAAATCAGAAAGGGCTTCTGCTCTTACATAAATGTTGAGCAGAAATCTGTAGCAATGCATTGAAACATAGATATCTCTGGGGAGAAAATTAGAGATGGTCGGGGTTGATTCCAAAATTTAGAGTCTGACTAAAATGATGGAATTACCATTAACTGAGATGAGAATGACTAGAGAAGAGGGCTGGCAAAAATCGAGTTTGGACTTGAGCATGTCACTTTTTTAAAGTGTCTATTAGACTTCCAAAGGGAAATATAAAATAGACAAATAGTCTAGAGTTTTAATGAGAGACCTATTGCATTGTAACTTTACCAGTCATCAACATATCGATGGTATTTGAAGCCAGAAGCTTGATGTGATCAATGAAGGACTGAGTAAATATGGAGAAAAGAGGCCTGAAGTCTGAGTTCTGGAGCTTTCTGATTATTGGAATCAAAAATAGGAGGAGAATATAGAGGAACAGAGCCTGAGAGAGAGCATTCGTGTGATGAGAGGAAGATCAAAAGAAATGTTACCCGGAAGCCAAGTGAAGAAATATTTTAAACTAGAGAGAGAGTGAAAAATTGTATCATGTGCTGTTAACTGTCAAATAAATACATAGTAAATTATATGTATTTTAAGTACATATAAATAAGTAAATTATAATAATATTGTATGGTACATCATTTTAGTCATAATTGTAAGTATAGGTTTCTTTGTATTTTACTTCGAAATTGACCTAAATTTTTAAATTTAAAATGCTTTCTCTGCCATTGATGTTACCATATTACAAGTTTGGAGAATGTGACCAAATGGAACTATGATTAAATTGTAGATTTTATTAGCAAGACAAAGTAAACATGATTATTTATAAATTTTTTAGCAAATATTAACAGTAACTGGTACTTAGATTATCCTCATTTTCTTTTTTCTTTTTTGAGACAGAGTTTCGCTCTTGTTACCCAGGCTGGAGTGCAATGGCGCGATCTCGGCTCACCGCAACCTCCGCCTCCTGGGTTCAGGCAATTCTCCTGCCTCAGCCTCCCCAGTAGCCATGATAACAGGCACATGCCACCACGCCCAGCTAATTTTTTGTATTTTTAGTAGAGACGAGGTTTCACCATGTTGACCGGGATGGTCTCGATCTCCTGACCTCGTGATCCACCCGCCTCGGCCTCCCTATCCTCATTTTCTTTTAAGGAAATCTTTTAATATCTCAAAAAGTTAACGGATACATTTGATAATTTTCTACCAGAAAAAAATAGTATTTGATTTAGAAAGGTATTTACTGATAAATCAGTATTCACTGAAGAATATGCTAAGTTGTCAGCCATTTTAATCTAATTAGGTATGAGAGTCTATATGTATACATATACTCTCAGTATTCTTTCAAGATTCTGAGTAAGTTAAAGAATATATTAAAATTTAAAGATAAGCTATAAAATGACTGATACCATTTGTCATATCTATATGAACTTTATTTTCTTGAAATTATTTAGCCAAATAAACTCAGAAAAATGCTGAATTATGGAGCTAAAATGATAAATTGACTGTAATTATTATCCTTTATGCCAATTTTGTAAGTTATGTTTGTCAGAACAACCTTATGTTTTATTGCCTGACTTTGAAAAAAAGTTATAGATGTGTACTTATACATTAATATTAAAATATATCAGTTTTAAACATAGTGGATACACATGAGGTTTCATTACAATAAAATAAGTTTGAAACTACTTTCTTTTCTATTTCCCTTCTTCCCTTTGACAAACCTAGGCACTTATATTCTGACATTTCAAGTGACTTTATTACAAAAAAAAATTTATTTCTTATGTGCATTAATGTCTGCATCTAGCTAAGCCCCCAACAAATAGTAGGCTTTCAAGCTTTGTTAAAGAGTAAATCTACCATTTATTCCACCAGCAGATTCCACATTTTGTTACCTTTAGCAATTAGTCAGTATTAACCCATTAGCATTTTCCTGTAGGCAATGTTAGTGTGTCTGCATAGAGAATGTTAGGATTTAAGCTATGTTGATTGAAATTGTCTTCCCATTTAAACTACTGTGTTCTTGAAAACAGGGAACATGTTAACATTTCAGTCAGACAGAGTTAAAAAGACTAATCTAAATGTTATAAGAACAAGACACTATTTTCAACTTCACTACAGTATGATACAGTTTCTTAACTTCTCTGAGTCTTGGTTTCTTGATTTTACCTGTATGCAGAGAAATATAATGTATGAGCTGCTTTTCTGATATAGGTATTGTAATAATAAAATAAAATAATACATACAAAAGAACTTTGCTACTTCTAAGATATCATGAAAGAAAGATGTTTGTTTATTATTATGCTTTCAATAGCAGTTTCTAATGATAAAAAGTGAGTGGAGAGAGAGAAGGGGAGAGGGAGAGAGAAGTAGAGGAAAAGGGGAGAAGCAACAACTTACTGCCTTATTTTTATGAAATGAGTCCTTTATGCGAGTTCTTCTCTCGCTGTGAGCAAGTAAAGTATCCAAATGCACCATTTTATCAAGCATCATAATTCTTTAAACCACTGCTCTAAGCCAGTCTCTTCAGTGGGGTAAAAGAGGACAATCAGGGAATTGAAAATGTGGGAGGTTTTGGTTAGTGTTATTGCATTTATGAGGCTGGGTAGCTGGTATGCTAAACTTTCTGTAGCATTCTGGATACTAACACACACAAAAATTATCCTACCCAAATGCTATTGGCAAATTACTAAAGCTAGCAAATTTTTTTGAAAAACTTTTCTTTTTCTTTGAATTAAATAAGTTGAATCACACACCAGTACATGTATTTTTAAATTCTGGATGGAAAAAAAGAAACTACATACCAAATATAGTTCTACTGGTATGCTTATATGATAAAGTATTTTATAAAATGTAACATAATCTATTAAATTACATATGTATATAATGGAAAGGCTTTTATAAACACTTAAAAATGTATTATGGTGCTGGCAAAGTGTGGTAATCCTGTAATCTGAGCTCTTTGGAAGGCTGAGGTGAGAGGATAACTTGAGGCCAGGAGTTTGAGACTAGCCTGGGCAACAGAGTAAGACCCTGTTTCAATGTTTAAAACATGAATCTATTATGGTGCTATGTAGGTTTAACATTATAATATAATGTATCTCTATTTCATCTTAATCTTTGGGATAGTGTAGGAATATTTAGAAAGTTCTGGGGAGAATATACGTTACTAGAAGATCAGCATTGTGTTTAAAAAGAGAAAAACAAGTAAGATTTCTCATATTGTATACCGGGCAACTGTAAAATTTTCTGTAAAATTAAGAAGCAAGACTACTTCCCCCAATATTATTTAAGGTAACTTTCAATCACAGTGGGATGAATCAAGTTGTCTTAACACTGGAAATATTTCTGCAAGTAAAAATTAACCCCACTCCCAAAATCATTATTGAAATCAAAACATTGATTACATATCATAAAATTGAGTCACTCACCTTCTTTTGCATTCGAACAGTGCAAGGTGTCGTCTAAATAACTCTGTGGGGATGATGTTCAGCTTTTGCGACTCCGCAGATCAAAAGTGTCTCTGACACTCGTTATTGTCGTTTATGTGAGTCCTTCCCACGCTGTAAGCAAATAAAGTATCCAAATGCACCATTTTATCAAGCACACTATGGTCCAGAGGCAGGATATTTTGAAAGTTTGTGACTAAAGTTGTGGCTCTCTAGTTCCATTCTAATCTAATTTTGATAATACAACCTTACAGTTTCTAGTACTTGTAGAAAGAAAAACTAAATTAATTCATTTTCTTCTTGGATTCCAGTAATTGTTTAGGATTTGTCTTCTACCAGTTGCCTTTGAGAAAGATATTGATTTCTGGATTTCTTTACGTGATAATTACTTTCAAGAAAAGCACTGCTCATGTCCATACAATTCACACCTATTTTTACAGTGATTCAGTTTGGAAAGTGAAAAGGTAGAATATAAATATTAAAGAAATATTAGTAATGGTAGACATGGTAATTTCATCAGTTCAGAAGCAACTTTGCTTAGTTTATCCCTTACATGCTCCTCAGGTTCAATTAAATTGAAAGGGGGAAATGAGTGAGAATCAAAGTTTTGAATTTACACACATGGTTTATTCTTTTATTTTATGACATTTTTATTAAAATACTTGCATTTCTCTCAAATCTAACATTACTTAAAGCCAAGTTTAGTTTTTTGGAAAACTTGAAAAATCAATCTTCTTCATTCTATTCCTTTATTATGAGCAAATCATGGGGAGATAAAATTCAAATAAAATGTTTCTAGACATAGTAACATGATAATGTCTTCTTTCTGTTTAGTAAATTAATCTTTCATGTTTCCCCACAGGATATAAAATTTCCAAAAAAATATATAAGATGTTATAACTACAAAGCTATGAAACTGATTAAATACGGTATGTGGCAAATAATATTCATTTCACTATATCCAAGGCTGTGCCTGCATGGTAAGTGCTTGTTACACTTATTCTCCAAGTTGTTTCTTGCAAAGCATTTGCCTTATTTACTCCTTTTCTTCCCAACTCTTCAAAATTAAGAGTTTCCATATCCACAAAACATAGTTCCTTTGTGGATAGCCCATTCATGGCCCAATAAACAGCTTTCTAATATGATATACAACCTCTCTGTAAACTTTTTCTTAAGCCCATGACCAGTCTATAACATTATAAGTTCTCCAGCTGATAAATGAAAAGTTCTTTAGTGTATTCAAGTCATAGTAAAGGAACCAACCATAATCTTTGGTCTGAGAATTGCATTCTCTAATCCTCGATCTACCACTAAATGAGTGACACTAAGAACTTGTCCTGATTGAGGTCATTTCTCTTATTTCCAAAATGTGGGGATTAGTCATTGTATTTCCAACGATTACAAGTTATCTGGGTATATACTTTAAAACATAAGAGTTTTCTAGGAATCTCAATTTTGATACTCAAAATACAGATAAAATATGTGATGTGTTTTATATTACTTATGCCATTTCTATACGTTTTTTCAATAAACTCATTCTCAGTGTGTGTAAATGGGAATAACAGGTTATATTTTCTTAGAAGCTTGTTGGTGGGGAGGGATGAATTCAATAACTCCTCTTACCCATCTCTACTTGCTTCCATAAATCATAATTTATATGCATTGGTGTGTAAGTTGCTCTTTCAGGTAGTTTAAAATAGTACTTCTCATAATTCCTTTTTCTACTGGCCTCACACCAGTCAAAATGGCTACTATTAAAAAGTCAAAAAACAACATATGCTGCTGAGGCTCCAGAGAAAAGGGAAGATTTATACATTGTTGATGGGAATGTAAATTAGTTCAGCCACTGTGGAAAACAGTTTGGAAATTCCTCAAAGAGCTTAAAACAGAACTACCATTCAACCAAGCAATCTCATTCCTGGGTATATATCCAAAAGAAAATAAATTGTTCTCCCTTCACCCTACGTTCATTGCATCACTATTCACAGCAACAAAGACATGGAATGAACCTACATGTCCATCAGCAGTAGATTTAATAAAGTAGTACATATACACCATGGAATACTATGCAGCCATAAAAAAGATAGAACTCATGTCCTTTGCAGAAACATGGATGCAGCTGGAGGCCATTATCCTAAGTGAATTAAATCAGGAGTAGAAAACTAAATACCATATCTTCTCACTTATAATTGGGAGCTAAATATTGAGTACTAGTGGACATAAAGATGGCAAAAATAGATACTGGGGACTACTAGAAGGTGAGGAGGGAGGGAGCAAGGGTTGAAAAACTAATTATTGAGGACTATGTTAACTACCTGGGTGACAGGATCATTTGTATTTCAGACCTCAGCATCATGCAATATACCCATGTAACAAACCTGCACATATACCCCCTGAATCTAAAATAAACTTTGAAATTATGTATTTTTTTAAGAAATGGAAGTACTGAAGTCACTTCAGTAAGAGAATAGTTTGAGTTTCCCAAATTCCCCCAGAGCACATAATGCTCTGCTGATTAGTTATATGATTGAGGGCCTTGAGGTCATGCTGGGTGAATGCTGAGAGAGGGGTAGACCCCATATTTTGAGGATTTATCCACTGCCCTTAGTACCATGTTTTGTGGGTAGGAATTTCAAACTACTTCTTCCTTTAATCTGTGATTTTGACCACAATAAAAAAGCAGTACATATACCGAAGTCCATTTGGGGAAGTCAGTTTGTCAACCCATTAATTAGCCTCTTGTTATATATTCCTTCATATATTAATTCAATTTTTGATCCCTGAGTGTTAGTTTTCCAACAATATTGTGAATCCTAATAAAATAAAGACATTCTAAGTCATTTGCATGCTCCTTTATGTCTACATTTTAACTGTAACATTTCAATGTATATTCCATAATGTATAAATGAACTGAATTGAAAGTATAAAAGAGAAAAATACTAAAAGAGATGCAAAATATTTAAGATGGAGAGTGTGTTGGAAAGCACCCCAGGGGCATCCTAATTCTTTCTTCAAAAGCCAAACCAAACATTCTCTTTTATGATTTTATCTTTATTGTTGCTATATTACAACCCACAGTATCTTGCATGTCACCTCTTATATTCTCTCTAAAATAAAATCAATAAACATAGTAAAAAGGAACTTCTTGTATAGTTCTTTTATTGATTGTTTTCTAAGGATTTTGCAAGCATTTACTACATGTTTCTTTAAATGTAACTATGTATTTTAATGTAAGGAAAGCATGTGAACAGGTTATTATTAAAAATCCTTCATAGATATGTAAATAACATCATTTTCAAAACGTGTTTTGTTTTCTGTTGGTAAGACATTTTAAAGGCTTAATTCAGGGTTTTATGGTGTGGTGATAAATACATGTTTTTATTTATGTGATTTAATTATGTTTCGGAAAAGATAAAGTTGAAAATTTTAAAAAAACTTGAAACACAGGACATTAAGAATGTGGGATATCAAATATTTCCAAAACCTCAAGGAATATTTAATGGCAAGTTTGAATGTCATGTCTGGGAAAGAGAAATTAAACCAGGACAGGCCATCATCATGTTAAGGTTAAATTGTCTAAAAACAAATTCCCTGTGATGTGCAGAAATATATTCTATTCCTGGTTGCTAAAACCAGGAATTTAAGCCATCTAAAACTTGATATTTTTCTCAACCCTCCTTTTTAGCACCAAGAGCAAAGGTAGAAAGAGCGAATAAAACCACAAATAATACTAATATACTCCTCCCCTTCAAAGAATAGACAGTATAAACAGATATACAATTTAACAAGCAATTTCAGTAAAACACACTAATTATGAAAGGATACAGCAGAGATAATAAAGTGAGCCAGGATGTGACAATGGGGTGGCATGTCAAAAAAGCTATCCCAGAGGAACTGCTGTCCAGTAGATATTAGAGGAGTGAATAAACCATACTATTAGGTTGGTACAAAAGTAATTGCAGTTTTTGCATTAGAAGTATGGGAAAACCCGCGACCACGTTTGCAACAACCTAATAATATGAACAATCTCATTACTACCTTTTGGTGCATAGATGTAAATATTGATGTTGAGTTTTTATAAAACTGAACATATGTATACCAAGTTGAAGTATACATATGTTCAACTTCAGTAGATACTGCCTAACACATCTAAACGCGTTTGTCCCAAATTACACTCTTTCCAGCAATATATAACGGTGTCATTTGTTCTACAACCTTGTCAGTACACGGGGGCGGGGAGGTGATATAAGATAAAAGGAGGGTAGACACTGTTAGCAGTGGAGTTTGGAGCTGATTCGAGTGTTCCAGGCTGATGGACAGCACATGTAAAGGCCTGTGGAGAAGAGAAAATGTGGTTTATTTGAGCAACCAGATATCCTGATGGTGTATGTCAGTGGATGAGCACTGATAGAAAATTAGACTAAATAATAACCAAGCATAAAATCGTAAGAGGCCTTTCATGTCATATGAAGAGATATAAAATATATCTTAAAGGTAACAGGAGGCCAATAAAGGGCTTTCTTACTGTGAAGTCATTAAAGAGGTGAAGATGGGAAGTGAGAAGGTAAGAACCACAAGGACCATTTAAACAGTGATAAATACAGGTGAGAGTTATAATTAGATCCTGGACCAGATTACTGGTAATTGGGGATTTGGTAGCTATGTAACTGGCAAAAAAATTGGATTTACTAGATTTGGCAGTTGAAAAAGGAGGAACTTGAGTATTTTTCATGTTGAGTTTCAGGTGCTTCTGAAATACTTGAACAGAAACATTCCTTCTATAGAGGTAAAAAATGACAGGGCTTGAGGCCCAGGAAAGAGTTCTGCACTTGCAATTTTGACTTTTGAGGTATCAAAATTTAGATGGTGGTGGAAACCATAAGAGTGAATGTAGATACTGATGGAGTATGAGTAAGAAGAAAAAGGAATCTAGGCCAATCTGGGAAACACTGCCAATACAGAATCAACAGAGAGTAAGAATGGGGAGCCCACAGAAGATAAGGATGTACATGCAGTGGTGTAGCAGACACTTAAGAAGTGAACTGTCTTGGATTCCAAGAAACAAAAGTGATTTCACAC